AGACATAGACAGACATAGACATAGACATAGACATAGACGACATAGACATAGATAGATTTCAGAGAGGAAGGGAGAGGGAGAGAGAGATAGAAACATCAATGATGAGAGTGAATGTGCCCTTGCCGGAATCGAACCTGGGACCCTTCAGTCCGCAGGTTGATGCTCTATCCACTGAGCCGAACTGGCTGGGGCCCAGGCCTGTTTTTGGATGCTTTACCTAATACAAATTTATTAAATATATCTGATTGTAAATGTTACTACCCAGCCTTCCCTACCCAGGAATAGGTCACTTGCTTCGCAGATCTAGGCAGCTCTCAGAGAGGCCCAGAGAAGCTGTCCAGGGTAGGAAGGAGCGCTGCTGTGGGTGCAGGGCCCTGCCCTGGACCAGGGCCTGCTGAGGAGGCTGCACTCAGCTGCGGAGACCAGGCCGCGGCTGCTGCTGCACTTCCTGTGCTGCATGTTTTGCCATGTTGAGCTGAGGTTCCAGCCCATTTGGATCTTGATACCAGAATGTTCCATAGGAACAGTATGTCTGCCTATTCATGGAAACTACCTCATATTGCTCTCGCCAAGTAGAGTGTGTTGGAATTTCTGTTCCCAGGGGAAACGTTTGCTCCTGTTCCCTGAGTATGGCATGCAGCTCACTGATGATGAGCCTGAGTTTGGAAGGCTCGGGTGGGGAGAGGAAGGAAGCAGGCTCATTAGAAACTTAGTTTTCTTCCTAATATCCTGTGTTAAGTCCATCATGTTAATGCATCTCCATCTATATGACTAAAATTGTTTGTATCTATTTGTGATCATAGAAACCATTGAAAATATTCTAACAAGTTTTGGGATAGGGTGTTTTTAAGTGGTTTCACTTAAATATGGGCTTGGGAATACATAAAATTTATGTGAGAAAAGGAGAGTTGGGAACGTCTCCAAGGAATGGGCAGTTGATTTCCGAAGTTGCTACAATAGGTTCCATGAGATCTGTGTTACTGTCCACGGTGCATATCATATGTGTCAAGATCCTGTCAGCTTTTGGGTCCTAAACGATAAGGGAATTTTGTTTCAGTAACAAACATAACAAGGAATCCAGGGTAGGGCAGTTACTCAGTTGTGTAGGAGCCTGACTCCCTCCTCTTGGTAGTTCTCCTTCAGACCGGCCTCCTCTCCATGAGGGTTTGCGCTCAGGCCTGATCCTTTACGGAAACAGCGTGTGTCGCGTCCAGACTGGACTGTTCGCATGTGTAGAAAGGGTCTTTCCTGTGTCTCTTTTGGGGTTTTTGTTGTTGTTTTAATTCTCACCTGAGGACATTGATTTTTAGAAAAAGCAGGAGGGAGGGGGAGAGACAGAGAGAAACATCAATGTGAGAGAGACACATTGATTGTTGCCTCCCCAACATGCTCTTACCTTCGCGGGGGATCGAAACTGCAGCTGAGGTACATGCTCTTGAACCGGGAATCAAACCCTGGGTCCTTCAGTGTACGGGGCCCACGCTCTAACCATTGAGAACCACTGGCCAGGGCTTTTGTGTCTCTTTTCAGAGTAAGAAACCTTTCCCTGGAGTTCCCCTGCAGACATTCCTCCATGTGCCATTGGCCAGAATTTCATCACATGCCGAGCTGCAGCAGCATTGCCAGGCGGAGACCACCAGGACTGACCAGACTTGTCAGGTCTGCTGGCGCTGGAGCCAGACAAACCTGGTTCCAGCCTGGTCCCACCACTTACCGAGGGGCTCCAGTTAAAGGATTTCACTTCTCTGAGATGGCTGAGCTCCTCTGTAAAAGGGGGTTGATACATCTTGCTTTTCAGAGGCATTTCTAAAATTTCTTAAGTTTCTACAATGTGCCAAGCACTGTGCTACATGCGGGAGTAGACTTAATCCTCAAAACAAGCCTGAGAAGTCGGTGTATGATTTGGTTAGATCCCGTAGGGGGTCGTTTTCTACAGCCAATTCGAGCAGCACATGGAGTTGACAGTCTTCAGGTGCAGAGAAGCGTGGAGTGCCCAGAGGAGAGGTCACAGATGATTGCCATTGTCAAGGGGTGACATTTTGATGATGTAACTTTGGGCAGTGACATTGGGATGTGAACCAAAGAATGGCTTCATGAAGTATTTAGAAAATAGTAAACAATGGAATTGGTGTCTAAAATAGAGCATTAGGATTAAGAAGAGTGTTAGATTTCCATCTTAAGAACGTTGAATAAGCAAAATTTGGTCTTGAAATTGTGTTAGACCTTTTTTGATTGGTCGCTAACATAAATTAGCTTTTGTTGTTTTAGGAGTGTTTCTCAGCACTCTCTCTCACCTTGGTTGTAAAGTTGGGCTTATAGTATGTACCTTATTGGGTAGTTTCAAGGACTTCCTGAGTTAATAGGAATACTGACTCATGATAGTACTTGGCACATGAGTGCTCAGAAAGTGTTAGCTATTTTTATTTTAATTTGCACAGAATTACACTCTTTCCTTTACTCTCACATCTTTTTAGACCATGCAGATAATCTCTTCCCCTATAGTTTTGAAAAATATGAAGTCATGAGTTTAATACTTCATGAGGTTTTATATTTATTCAGATGCACATGGAGGTCAAGGAGGAGAGTCTGGAGCTGCACATGCACCTGAGCCAAATCCAAGGCGGGAAGCAGTAGTGGCACTGGGAAGCAGTAGTGGCACTGGGAAGCAGTAGTGGCACTGGGAACAGGGGGTGGCACAGTGGAGGAGAACGTAGCTTCAGGAGCATGCCCCAATGGAAATGCTCATTGTAGTGAGAATATCGCATTCCTGTAAAACAGGAGAGGAATAGCCAACTTTGTTCAATCTTTTTAAATAGTAAAATCTCTTTTTAACCATAATAACTATCCTATATAATAAAAGGCTAATATGCAAATTGTCCCCTCGACCGGGAGTTCAACCAGGGGGCGGGCCCAGCCAGCCGGACCCAACCAGTGCTCTAGTAGGAAATAGAATGGCAGCCACTAGAATGCCCATCACCTAGAATTAACTAACGCTGACATTGCCACAGTGGTAGAGGTTTTACTAAAGACTTCTTTTTAATCAAAGAAGCAGAAACCAATTGTTAAAAAAAAAACATGAAGCCCCATTTTGTGTATTTGGGTGAAGACAGCTGAGGAAACTGCAGAATTCGAGTGGCTGCCCTCGTGCTAGTCCTGTCATACTGCCATCCTGCTATTTCTTTGGGTGGTGGCTGGCATTCCACATGGTGACATAAAGACCCAAACTCCAGGGTTATTAGACTTATCATGGCATTCATGTCGTAAGGTACATAAATGTAGAATCACTGTGTTGCACACCTGAAACTAATATAATGTTGTGTGTCAACTATCCTATATAATAAAAGGCTAATATGCAAATTGACCTTAACGGCGGAATGACCAGAATGACCGGTCACTATGATGCGCCCTGACCTCCAGGGGGCAGACACTCAATGCTGGAGCTGCCCCCTGGTGGTCAGTGCGCTCCCACAGTGGGAGCTCCGCTCAGCCACAAGCCCGGCTGACGGCTGTGAGTGCACTGATGGTGGCGGGAGCCTCTCCCGCCTCCTCAGCAGCACTAAGGATGTCCAACTGCAGGGAGCAGGCCTAAGCTGCAATCGGACATCCCCCAAGGGCTCCTGAGCTGCCAGAGGGATGTCTGACTGCCAGCTTAGGCCCGATCCCTGGGGCCTAAAGCTGGCAGGTGGACATCCCCTGAGGGCTCCCCAGACTGCCAGAAGGATATCTGACTGCCAGCTTAGGCCCAAGCCCCCCAGGGAGCGGGCCTAAGCTGACAGGTAGACATCCCCAAGGGCTCCTGGGCTGCCAGAGGGGATGTTATGCTGAGGGACCCCCCTGAGTGCACAAATTTTGTGCACTGGGCCTCTAGTACTTCAATAAAATTTAAAAAGGAAAGAAAACCCCACACTCCTTCCATTTTATGGTTCTACCATCTTAAGCACAGCACACTGTTTCCGAAATTACGGAAACTTTAAGTTTATTAAAATTAAAGCAGAAACCAGGAATATTTACATATTAAAGTAGAAATCAGGAATGTTTATATAATCGTAAGGTTTTGCTTCTGTGCATAGAATGCTGAAAAATCTAAAATTAAAATGATCAAACTCAACATAGTATCCCTTAAATAAAACAATTTGGAAGCAGAATGTGTTATGGGTAGAAATTGGTTGTGTTCTTTCTTTCCTTCGCCTCTGTCGCTGTTGTCACTTAGCATACTGCACACAGTGTGACAGGCCAGCAGAGAGCCTCAGCCTTCCACACTCCCTTCCTGGGCAGACTGCACCGCTGTCGCTCTGCTGGTGCAGCGCGGCCTGGTTGCCCAGGCAGCTGCTAGCCTGACTTCACAGCTAGGGAAATAGCACTTGGTATTAACAGCCAAATTTAACACAAGTGTGAACAAGATCATTGGTGGGGGTGGGGGGGTGAGCGGAGGTCTCTTAATCTAAGATCTCGCCCAGATTGAATGAAATGGGGCTATTGATTCCTCCCAAAATACAGGTAATTAATAGAAGGATATTGAAGTTTCAGTTGAGTTTCCTGCCAGCCCCGCACACCCTTCCCAGAATCTCTCCTTCCTGAATGATTTAGGACAGGAACACACTATTGTGGGCTTTTGGTTTTATTCAAAAGTGGGCCACGTATTCAAAATTCCTTCATCTGGGGCAGCATATGAGGTTGTTTTCTTATGTTAACTATAGTTATAATAGCGTGTTAGAAATTTTTAAATATGTATTAAGTTTTTAGTATTTTACAGGTAATCTCAACAACAGTTTAACTAACTGTAGACGATGAAAGTTTGCAGATGCTGGCCCAGAGTAGACGCTGGAGTTCTCAGGGACTGACCCCACAGCAGCACTGACTCCAGGCTCCTAGTACTGGTCCTCTCGGCTTTGTTGTCAGAAATTTCATGAAAGAAACTAGTGTTGTAGAAACCAGAGGATGCAAACATTGCCCGGAATAGTCATTTAGCCAGAAATTGGGGGTAATTTGGGGATTTGGAGACATTCAGAATCCCAGAGGTCTTGTGCCTTCACTGGGAGAGTCAGTCCTTGAGATGAGCCTCCGGAGGTAGCTGTAAAGCTTGTTCCTGCCATGACAGTGTGTGAGGCTTTTGAAATTGTGACTTCGTTTCCCCTTCTTCCAAAGGCATTACTTCCTCAGTGCAGCCTCGACCGGCGGGGCTCAGTACAGTCTCTGTGGCATCGATTTACCCCTTTCCTGTGGGATTAACTACAGGCCCGGAGCCTCCTGAGCAAATCAGAAATGCTCCCCTGCAGCTTTAAGTGCACGCTCGGTTCTCATCACCTCAGCAGGAAGCTGTGCATTGGGGGCTCTCAGTTGATATCAGGTCTGTCTGACGTGCTTACTTCTTTGTTATTTAATCTCTTCAACACACAGGGTGGACAAAAGTAGGTTTACCTTAGTATGGAACATAACACAATAATAAATAATAATACACGATAAACTCTGTTTTGCATATTCACAACTGTAAAACTACTTTTGCCCACCCATATTTCTCCAAATGATTAAATTTATAAAGTAGCTACCAAAGATTGTATGTCTCACTTTTTTTTAAAGACACATCTTTTTCTAGGATTGTGGCTCGCCTTCCACTAACCTGATTTAAAATTTTAATTTTACTTTTTTAAGCATAGGTTTATATCACTGGTTTGTCTATTATATTTACAAATGATGGCTTCTTTTTAGGTATTCCAATACCTACATCCAAAAAATAATGAAATATAATCAGTGTTATGCTCTTCCTTCTTTTTCATGTGTGAGAAAGGAGATCTCAACAGTTCTCTCTACCCCAGGGTACTGTAGGTTGCTGTCCTGTCAATACTTTTCTCCCTTCTCTTTGTCCAGTACAATACGCCTCCCTGTCCCTTTTTTGAGAGTGGGGTAGGATTTCACCTCGCATTTCAAATGTAGATGATGCATTGTTTGGAAAAGTTGGCTTTGAAAAAAGTAGTTTAAACCTAAGTGAATTATCACCTAGGTTGTGTGTGTACCTAGACCAGCAACCCGATACTGTGGGAAAGCTACATGCCACCTTTGGAGAGGGTGGAAAAGAAAGATTCTGCTCTCTAGTTTCTTTTGCTGTGAATAAAAGCAGGGCTTCTTCATCATTTGTCTGATGTTCTTTCCAAATCTGTGGTATACACACCACCCTGCAAGACTGATGTCAACAGCAAAGTTTAGAAGAGAAACTTTCAGCATCATTTGTCTCTGGTAAGATTGCTGTAATGACAGCCTCCTGAACAGAACAGAGAACCTGTAGGTAAAGAATGTGGAATGCTAAAAACAGCGTCCACAGGCCCTCTGTGAAAAGCTGGTGTCCTCTTACCAGACGTTTCTGCTGTGTGTGTAACCCATTCATCTCACCCGCGTGTAAAGAATCAGAGTACTTGGGGATGAGGCCCAGAAATCAGCCTTCGCCCCCCCCCCACCCCCCCACCCCCTCAGCAACCTCAAGTTTTACTGGAATGAGTAGCAGTGCTTTTGGCCCAGAGAGAGCTTCATCAACCCTCACTAACATGTATATCTGAATAAGATGATGTGGTTTTCTTGGATTAGACATGGTTTACTTTTAAAAACCCTCTTAGAGAATGGAGGCAAGGGCAAGGGGGCAGAGGGTAATGATACATCGTGGACAGAGA